ACCTCAGGCTTGCAAAGCAGGTGCTGAGCCACTGAGATATACCCACAGCTCTAGTCAATTGATTCGCATTTAATGTTTGAAAAGAGATTCTCTTCCATGCTTCATATTTTGTTCTAGTAGTTTCTTTTACAAATGTATGTATTTATTAATTTAACAAGTATTTATTGAAAATCTATAGTCTAAGATACTAGAAATGTAAGACTAAAAAGACTGGGGAAAATCCACAAAAATGGGGTGGGGGAAGACTCTCCCAATTTGTGGTATAGACACTACATAAATGAACAATTAATTAAGACATATGAAGACAAAGAGGGAGGGGGGAACACTGTGATTTGAGCGTGGCTATGTTCGGAGAGGAAGGGGAGTTTTGATAGGATGAACAGGAAGGGCTCTCACAGGGATAAGATGACACTTAAGACTTCAAAGGTGACGCTTGAGAAAAGACCTGAAGAAAGTGAGGAGGACGCAGTAAGTGCAGTAATGTGTCAGGTGGCTAAAACACTGGATGTGTTCAGGGCCCATGGGCATACCGGAATTCTCATGTGTTTTACATAACTTAAAGATCTCTCTGTTTGTCTCATCTACCCCACATGAAGGAGCATCTTAACTACTAACCAAGTAGTTAAAATTTACCACACCAGGATCCATGACAGTTATGAAGGAGATAAGAGGCCAAACACCAGAGGACAGCATGAGATCAGAGGCTTCCCTCATAAGCTAGGGCCATCTGCAAAAAGAGGGCTAAGGGTGAAAACCTCTATTTCCAGTCGATGTGGCTTCTGCTGTCTTGCGTTTTGTTTATGTTTCTCTCTTCTTCCGCATCCTCCTGCTGTCCTTTTCCTGCAAATACCTCCAGAAGAGTTGGCCCACTGGTTGAGACCTGTCTTCCCTCACCCCACCATTTAACACGTACATCTCTGTTAGGGTTCTGCCTATAGTTATCCACTCATTATTCGTGCTACCGGGGACCTTTATATGAGCAGTAAGATCCTCCCCACCAGGAGGAAGTAAGATGAATCAGATGGGCCTAGTGAACATCAGCCAAATCATCCCAATTACAGCCAAATTAAAAATTGGCTAGAGAGAGTCTGAACCATGTAGGCAGAAGTATAGTTAAGTCTAAATGTGTTATCTGTAAAAGATAAATATGAAAAGATAATAACACCTCCCTAAGATTTAGCTAACTAGGAAGAATTCATTTAGAGAAGGCCAAGAAATATCAGACCTGGAGAGGTTAGGTTTTCTTTCATAAATTAATGAGTCACAAGAATTTAGGCAATAAATGATTAATTGTGGGGTAAGATTAACGAGGTGTTTTAAGGTTGTTGAAGATCTTAAATCATACCAATTTAGCAGAGAATGGGTTTAGCACGTTTTAGTGTAACAATTAGCTCTCGGGAACAAAGGGGAACATAGTGTCCCTGCTTCTGTTGAAGGTTTCTGTTACGTAAGGGCGTCTCTGGCATTTGCTCAGCTGGGGTTGGTTAGCTAGGTGACAGACTTTGGGCTGACTTTTATTTTCCTTAAAACAAAAGCTGAATTTTAAAGTAAAACCCAATGTCACAGAAATAAGCATCATAAAACATTAGAGCTAGAAGGATAGTAGAGCTTTAGACGAAACTTTTCATTTTACAGATGAAGAGTCAGTTTCTTCACTTGGAAAATATAAGGGTGAAACGAATGAGAGTGCATATCTACTACTTCTATGAATCCATATAACCCAGAGAAGCTATGTGGTGCCCCAAATTTGCACAGCTGGTCCAAGCAAGGCTTGGAAAATTGGCTTGGTTCCCAGGATTCTCTTTGTAGTTGTGAGGCAATTTTGTAGTTTAAAAGTTCAGTAACCTCAGTTGTTTGACGCAATGTAGATAAATAGCCATCATAGCAGGTTGGATTTTTCCCCCATTACAATTAGTTTTTCTGCATCATGGAAACATAACCACAGGGATATAACATCAGCCACAGAAGGAATAAGCTTGTTGGAGCAGGCTCAGTCACTCAAGAGAATACAACAAACTCAACCTTCAGCACTGAGACCAGGAAACAATGGATGAAATGCTTTTCAACACACAGAATGGTGCAGAGGTGACCCAAAAGGAGATCTGGCTCTGAAGGCCCATATATGGAAGAAGAGTACAACCTGCTAGCAAAATCCCTGGTGGGTAGAAGATACATTGTGTAGAGTCTATGCTTCTGGTGGCTGTCAAAAGACTTCTGCATTACCCTGGGACTGTGTGACTAGAGCATAAACTATTTCAGCATGTATAATGTGAAATCTTCCAGCTGTGATGGAAGGTTATTTCTGACCCTGAGGATGAAGTGGTCTATCTCTGTGTACCACACTGATGGTCTGATCCTTTGAACTACACCAAACCTGAGAGCCATTCATTTCATCCTCTTCCAAGAAACAGATCAACATCATATATTAACTCCTCTTCCCTACTTTACATGCTCATAAGCAAACGAAAGCATGAAAAGCTGGGAAAAATATTTGTAATTTTCTTACAGAAAAGCGGTTATATTCCAATGTATCAAGGATTTATAAAACTTGAAATGTAAAAGATCAATAACTCTATCAGAAAAATCACATCTTATAAATAATTGCTTTTCAGAAAAATTCTTACATCCTCTAAACATATGAACAAATGTTAATCCTCATATATAATAAGAGAAGCACTAAATCAAACCAGCAGCAGATAGAAACCCTCTCCTAGAATGTGGGTGAAAATACATAATTGTGATCGATTACTGTATTTCCAGGACTGTGAAGAATAGGAACTGTGATATATTGATGGTATGAATGCAAAATGGTGCAGATTTGATGAAGTTTCCTTAGCATCTAGGAAAATTACAAATACACTTACCTTTTAATCTGTTTCTAGAAATCTATCTCAAGGAAACATTGATAAATTATGAAAAGCTATTAATTTCAAAGTTATTCATTGCAGTGCCATTAATAATTGCAAAAGACAAGAATCTAAGAGGTCCATTGATAGGGGACTGACTGAATAAAATTACAGAGTATTCCACAGCTACAACACAGAATGAAAAAGAGCTTTTCATGTTGCTATGGACTGATCCGCAAGAAAAAGAACCATGAACAAAGTAGCATATAGTAAAGTATGTTTATGTTTGTGTATTTGCTTAAATTTAAAAATGGATGGGTAAGCTGAAAACCAACAGAAATGGTTGGAAAATTAGGGTAGGGAAACAGGAATAATAGCTAGATTTCTTTAACAATGTTCTGTGGTTTTCATCTTAGAACCCTATAAACATTTAATCTAATTTTAAATCAAAAAGTGTAATGAAACAGAGGGACATTTTTATGCACAGTGGATTTTTATGCACGGTGGCATAACCACATAGAGGAATAATTTCAAGTGAATTTTAGAACAGAGACATTTTTAACTATACATCCCAAGTGGAGTATACTTAAAGGTTAAAAATAACCACAATAAAATCTTAAGTGGTTTGCAATTATGGTATTTTTAGTAATATATGTAATAATTTTGAAGGTATATGTTTTAAGATAGTATGAAATTATATTCTTATAGGAGGATGAAGAAGAGTATGGAACAGAAAAATGCAAATGCAAATTAAGATTCAAGGCAGTAAATATTTCTATAATCCTAAATTTGAACAGAAAAGATAATACAAATATGTGATTTAATTTTGCTTAAAAATAGGGCCTAGAAATGATGAGACCAATCTACCACCAATGAAAGAGCTTTATGTCCCAATTTTGGTCTCTGAATAAATTTCCTTCTTGAAAGAACCAAGGTACCTTGGAGAAATGGTTGATTTCAAGTAGGGATTAAGGAAACATTCACGATAAGGTTAGGGACACCTAGTCCTACATAAGTGCTGGAAGCTCATCAAAGACTCATGTGGTCAAGGCAGAGGGTGCATGAGAAATGTGGAGAGGTTCCTACTTACTGAAAATGGAACATTTTGATCATCAAAAGAAAAACCACAATAGCAGCTTGAAATATATTGACTATGTGAAATCCATGTATTCATGAAGATACTTTAAAAAGACCCACCTTGTTGGTAACATGAAAGATTTTAGGGAAACAGCATATTATTTTGAAAATTGATAAATGAAAATAATCAATCATTTTCCCTATTCTTTATTTGTTTGTTTATACTATAAGATGAATACTTAAATAGTTGAACCTGAAAACTACTTCTTTTTTTTTTTTTTGTCTTTTTGAGACAGGGTCCCACTATGCAGTTCAGGCTGGTAGGGGCTGGGGATTTAGTTCAGTGGCACAGTGCCTGCCTGGGAAGCGCAAGGTCATGAGTTTGATTCCTGGTACTGGAAAAAAAAAAACCAAAAAGAAAAAAAATGCTGCTGTTGACCTCACTTTGTATCCCAGGATGGCCTCGAACTCACAACGATCCTCCTGCCTCAGCCTCCCGAGTGCTGGGATTACAGGTGTGTGCCACCATGTCTGGTTGGAAAACTACTTTTTAAAGGAGAGTACCAACTAATAAACATAAAATGTAGGCCGAATTTGCATACTATTTTGCATACTAGTTCTATAGAAATAAACTATGACTTTAACCAGTCTCTCCCAGTACTGAAATTGCTTTCTCATTAATTTCTGAAGTGTTATCTGAATATTCACCTACTTCTTTTCATTTTCTTTCTTTAAAAAATTACTAACAGATATGTCAACTGCGTGTGACAAGGAATAAATAATTACTAGTAGGAAGGTTCAGGTAATGGCTTTTGGAGAAATGTTCTATTTAAAATGCTTTACTCTTTGGTGATAGTACAGGGTATTGAACAGAGGGCCTTCACACTGAGCTACATACCTAGCAATTTTTTTCCTAGATTTTTGAGACAGAGTCTTACTATGTAGTCCCGCCTGGCCTGAACTTGTGGCAATCCTCCTGCCTCAGCCTCCTGAATGCTGGGATTACAAATGTGCACCACCCCACCGGGCCTAAATGTTTTACTCTACAAGAAGGGGATGTGTTATGTGAGCAATTACCTGGATCTGTAGCTGACATCAGTGAACCAAAAAATAAACAGTCAGTAAAATGAAAGTCTCCATTTTTCAGCTGACCAGCATATATCATAGCCTTCACAAAACCATATACAATTAACCTGTAAAAGAGGAAAATAAGATCTTTAAACATCAAGTTGAATCCTGTGTAAATCCATGTTATCGTAGCTAACATTCTGATGTGCTTCCTGAATATGTATCACGCCCAAATCACTACCGTACCACCAATTCATGGTTATGCTACCTCTGAGTTCGGTATAGTCTCCTGGCTGTGAAAGATACTTTTACCCAGTATCACAATTCATTCACCTAGCAAAAGGTAACAGGACATTTTATAGCCTATTTCAATGAAAACAAGATAAATCTCAAGGATATAAAAATAATCCGTCAAATGTGGCACAGCAAATCATGCCTGCAAACACAGTGGCTGTGTTGACATCTGTAAATGGATTGCTTTTCAGTTTCCCTTGCTTTTGCTGCTGTCTGAAAGGGGTTCAGATTTCAAGTTTGTCATTGCAGTGAGAAAGATCCTGTCTCCCAGGGTACAGTCACCCAGTCACTTCACAATGTAGGAGCCTCCTGTACTCCTGGCATCATGGCACTTGCAGTCCAGGTGGAGAAGTGCCATTCGGTTAGAGCATGCACAACTTCAACAGGCACTAAAAGTAAATAATGAAGGATTACACATGGTGATTTTGTGAGGGAAAAAATGTTCATTTAATAAAAATTTTAGGCTGGAAGTGGTGGCGCATGCCTGTAATCCCAGCACTCAGGAGGTTGAGGCAGGAGGATTGCTGTGAGTTAGAGGCCAGCTTGGGCTACATAAGCAATTTCAAGTCCAGCCTGAATAACACAGTGAGAGCTTGTTTCAAAAAAAAAAAAAACAAAAACAAACAAACAAAAAAACAAAGCAAAACCAAAATAAAGACTTTAGAAGGTTTTGTAACCTTAGTATCCCCATGCTGTAGAATGCTAATTATGTATTTGAGTCATCTGTTGCTAACCTATAGGTTGGAAATTGTATTTAATTTTTTAATTGACTGACTTTGCTCCAACCCTAATAGAGAACACACAAAGACTGGTAAACTGAAGCACAGCACAGCCTGAGAAAGGTCTGTAGGAGTCCTCAGCAACTATAGGCAACTAAACCAATATATGAGTGCTTAAAGGCTCACAGCCTTTAAAAATTGTTTTGAGGTACTGAGTACAGCTAAAAAGGCTAAAGATCAGACTTTAGAAATTATAATTTCAACAAGAAAGCAGATACTTCAAATTCTGATCAGGGAAATAGCTCCATAAGACACTATCTCAAATGCACCTGCATTTAAATATAGGCTCTACCGCATACTAGGTATATGGTTTTACAGTATCACTAAAATGTTTTACATCTCAATGTATTTATTCATGAGATGGGATTACAATAATGACCTATAGAGTTTTTTTAGCTGAAATAATACATATTTTATGTATAATACACAGTAAATTCTCAATGAGGTCATCATAGCTCCTAATAATGACCAGAATAGCAGGTAATATTTACTTACAATTCCTACTTCTTCAATTAATCCACATATTGATTGTATAAGATGAGTATTATTACTTACATTTCATGCATGAAAAACACAGAATGCTGTGTTGTTCTAGGTAGCTGAAAGGGGCCGTGGAGCATACCTAAGAACTTGCTCATCGGAGGTGAGCTATTAAGCTGATTTATAATGAGGTAAAGACCCAGCACTGGTTTGTAGAATGTGGGTTCTGGCTCAGGATGCTGAATCGTAATTAGGTTGTGGGTATTAAATATCTGCATAAGATAGTACCATCAGAACACAAAAATAGGAGCTGAGGCGTCAGGTCCCAGGGGTCTCACTCTTGGATGTTTATACTAGTGTAACCAAGGGAGGACACATACTGATTACCAAGGGTGTGATCTTTCGATGGGTGTAGGGTAGTTTCATTTAGAATATTTGTTTGTTCAACACACATTTATTAATGACCCCTTCCTATGTGTCAAGCTCTCTGCTAAGTGCTTAAGATATATTAGTCAGTAAAATGAAGATCCTTGCTGTTAGCAAGCATGCAGTTTACTAGGATGGACAGTAACAAAAATACTCAGAAATTCAAATTATATCTGTTTATGTGTCTGACCAACATTAGGGCATTCTGAACAGCATTGCCAGAGAACTACCCCTCCTTATTTACCCTGTCAGCTCCTATAGTGTTAGCTCAACTGTACCATGGTTCTTTTCATTTAAGCTACACTTCAGATATTGAACATCAACAGGCTCCAGCATTAATGTAAACTTTAAGATGTATGACTATATCTCTGAGTTCTACATCTATTAGTTAATTTTATAGGTTAGGAATCTGAGGCTCACAAGTGAAATATATTTTCATAATGTGTAAAATTTATTAAACTACACTATACAGAAATATATATGCTATCCAGGTTTTGCAAGATTACAGTGAGACTAGAAGCTTTATGTACCATAGCTTGAAATGCAATTAAAGTCCTCATTGAAGCCACTTTAACAATTTAAAGCACAATCTTAAAATATTCTATATTTTATTAAATGATTTCCTGTGGATTCATATCAGTAAACTAATCAAATATAGACCAAAAGGCATATATTCATATTACTTTAGACCACAAGTATTTGCTCTAAGTAAAAAATTCAAAGCAAATTATAGCCCAGACATATGGTAGACTAATATGCAACTACTAAAACTGTATGAAAGAATATATATGGGACAAAAAATTAAGTTACTTAAAAGTTAATAAATACAAATATTCTAAAAGTTAACTATAGTTAAGCATTCAATTATTTGAAAGAACTAGAGAATGTAATCCATTATTAAAGTTAATAGCTGTCATATAAATGAACTTAAATGTGACCCTTTTCTTTTTTGCTTTGCCACATTTTTCCAATTCTTTTAAAATAAGAGCCATAATAAAAAATACAAACAACAATGTACATTACTGAGTGCTATTATGGACACAATAGATACTCATTGTATCATTTAGTCCTCATAATCCTCTGAGTTAGGCACTATAATTATCCTTTTTTTTTCAAAAGAGAAAAGTAGAAGTCAGAGAGGTTAAGTAATTTGCCTGCACTGTAGTCACAGAGTTAGTTTGTGAGAAGTTTGGATTTCAACTGACTGTATGCCAGGCCCTTTTATAAATGGTATCTATTGTCACTATTGTTACATTATTAGTAGTAAAAACAATTAGCTCTAATACATAAACTGGGAGGCTAAAAAGTGAGATCATTAGTAGTTGCCATATTTTCACAGAGTGGTACATTTTATCAGCACCAACAGAAAGTAGTTTACATGGCCCAAGATACAAGATACACATAGTCTGATGTGGAAAGGGATGTCCAGTGTGTGCAGTGTCTTGAACATGGCAAACTTAAGATGTTTTCCAGGGTCAGTCTGAGGTTCATGACAGCCTGAACTGCAAGGCTAGGCTGGAGCAGAAAATACCTCATAAAAAGCAAAAGTTCTGATAACATTGATTTCAATTTAGTGTTATTCCTCTATGGCAATGTTCACAGTGCTATATCTTAAAAAGCAAAGTGCTGGTGCTATGGAGGATACAAAGACAGAAATGCATTGCTTGCCCTTAAAGAATAGATGGCAGTCATGTGACTGCTTCAGTAGAAGGTAGTGGGCAAAGAGGAATTTGGGAAAATGCTCAATAGTCAAATGAATAATGAATGAATTATAATGAAATGAATAATGATGAAAATGATTGCTGACCACATGCATTTTACTAGTGTGGACTGATCTTAAATTAAATGAGCTTATTTCACACTGTTACATCTCCACACCTAAAGGCATATTGCAAAAAAGAAAGTTTCAAAACAAAAAGTTCCAGGAATTTCAGTTGCTTGGATCGTTTTAAAAAATGCCATCTTAACCTCAGTATTTTTAGAAAAGAATCCTTCTCCTCTGCTTCCTCCTTCTTTCTCATCTTCCCCTACCTGCTCTTTCTTCTCCTTTCCTTCTTAAAATTGGCTTCACCAAGTTATGACTGTATTACCAGAAAAAGGCAGGTATTTCAAAATTGTAATGGATATGCAAGGGAGATTGATGTCAGTGTGGAGACAAAGATGCATGGACCAGTCTTGTTAACTGGCAGAAGAGTCACATCCCTGCCTAAGAAAGCATATGAAACGGACCACAAAGAGTGCTTACTCCTCAGGGGAAACCCCAGGGCACACGGGCACTGGAGTCAGTATAAAAGTTATGATGTGCTTTCTGAACTCTATGTCCAAATGCCTTCCTTTGGATAATATCTTTTCCTATTTATTTGTTCACATTTAACCATTAGTTTCAGTCACATGATTTCTTTTTCTCTGAATCATACATTCAAAAGTAATACCTCATTGGAGACCTTAAAAGTCTTAGTGCTGACTGAGTTGGGTGGGATTGAGAGGGTTTTACCAAATCCCACCTTCTAGTCATTCACTTATTTGCCAGTTCACTCCTTCATTCAGCAATTAATTCCAAGGAGACATAATTCCTAACTCAAGAGACTTAAGTTTTCACTGGAATAGTCTAACATTTAATAGGTCATTTATAATTTATTACTTTATTCATCTCTTGCTTAAGTGATGGGCAGAAGTACAGAATGCAAACACACATGCTTCTGTGTACTAGGGAACAACAAAAGTAATCACAAGTTTAATTTTTAAACTGTTGAGCTTGGGATTGCTGAGTATCCAGACGTGGATCTCAGTGAAGTGTTCCTTAGGAAGCAGATTGGACAACAAACACTGTCCGGTGTGTTATTGTCCTGGGCATAAATAAGACCCAGGAAAAGCATGCAGTAGAAAAGTGCCCAGGATTGAGGCTGGGCAACACTGGCATTTAAAGAGGAGGTATAAAAAAATAAGAATAAAAAATGTAGGGAAGGTCAACACGGTCAAGTCAGCAGAGGATATCAAGAATCTGTCAACAGAGACCTGAGTGAAAATCCAGCAGAAGGTCACAGAAGTCACAGGAACAACTGTCTTTAAATTCTCAGGATAAGTAAAGTTGAGTATTTCCCAGAGAGCCATTTTATTTAAGGTCATTAAGGGGTAAGAGCTAAAGT